CTCTCTCTCTCTCTCTCTCTCTCTCTCTCTCTCTCTCTCTCTCTCACACACACACACACACACACACACACACACACACACACACACAACACACATGGTGGAGAAAGGATAAACAACAGATCCCTGAAGATGGACGTCGGCCAGAAGCACCGAACGACCTAACTTGTTTGGAAATAGGAACAGCAGTCATAGCACGCCCCACACTCTCCCTGTGATTATGTGGGGATAGGAGAATGTGAGCAATGGTCCTGCTACGGGGATTTAAGAATATGATTATTAATTTATTAATTGGCCAACCCGCAGGACTTGGGCTTCTCTGAAGCCACTGAGGGCGGGACATTACCTCCATTACACGACAACCGTTTGATCTGTGACGCAAGCCTGCGACAGTGACAGTGAGACAAGAGAAACGAGAGAGGCACACTTTAAACACCATGCTGCCCTTCCTTCTGCACCCCCTATTTTTATTATACAACAACGTTAATACTGCAATGAATGTCATTGAAATTGATTGAATGCTGCAAATTTCACTCTCTGCAGTCTGAGCTTCCACTGAGAAACACAGTTTGTAATACTTTTGTACTATTTTGTATGAAATTTCACATTTGTGACATTTGTGACATTTGTCTGATATTTGTATGTAATATTTCTTCAAACTTTTTTCTGACATTTCTGGGTTTCTCCGGGATGGTTTGTCAGTCTGGAACAATTTGTGTCCTTGTATTTTATTTTCTGAAGTTTTCTGTGTTTTCGTGCGCATGTGGATAGCAACAGGAGACGAGGACTACTTTTTATGTTTTTTATTATTAAAATTTTTAATAAATAAAAAAAGGGGTGACGGCCTCATCGTCAAACTAACCGGCCCAAGCTTTTACCGAGAAACACAGTTTGTGATACTTTGTAAGTTTGTATGAAATTTGAGTCTTATTTGACTGATATTTATTATTTCCGCGTTTTTTTTTTTTACTTTTTTTCTGAATTTTCTGCGTGTGTTGTCCAGCATTGTTCGTCACTCTGGAACATTTTAAGTCCTCACTTTTTTTTTCTTTTTTTTTTTGGACCATTTCTCGATTTATGCGTGTCATCCTTACTTGTGAAGGGGCCATGCTTCTTTTTTTTTTTTTTTTTTTTTT